ATACATTATTACTTGAATCTACTATCTAAGAATAGAGTAATATTTGAATTATAATATACATCTTATATCTTACATTTCATATTTCATATTTCATCTATCCATCTCCCCCCTCGCCCCCCAATCCAACCAAATCTTACCTAGCTACACCTACAATCTAAACCTCCAACCTATTCCACTCAATCCTTAATCAACCTCAGCCTCTTCTCAATCCGACCCCCCTAACCCATTGCTCAACCCCATTTAAATCCAAATCTTAACCTCAAATCTCAACTCCCCAACCTCAAATCTCAACTCTCCAACCTCAAATCTCAAATCTCAACTCCCCAACCTCAAATCTCAACTCCCCAACCTCAACCTCAGCTCCTAAATCTCACTCATCTACAATCTCTAAATTATACCCCCTCGCCTCAACCCCCCCAGCCTCTTCTAAATCCAAATCTCAATATACCCCTTCAAACTATCCAATTCCCCAACCTCAACTTCCCAACCTCTCCAACCTCCCCCAAATTCAATCTTTAAAATCCCGCCCCCCTCATCCCTCATCCCTATCCCTCATCCCTAGCCCTCATCCCTATCCCTCATCCCTATCCCCCATCCCTATCCCCTATCCCCACCATCTAAATAATTCCAATTCCAATTCCAATTCCAATTCAAACTCTCAAAAACACACACACACACACACACACACATACATACGCAAAGAAAGCCACACCCACTATCCCTATCCTATTCCTATCCCTATGTATCTTCCTACTCCCCTTCTCCTTTCCCCTCCCTTCCCTTCCCTTCCCTTCCCTCCCTCTAAAAATGCAAAATGCAAAATGCAAAATACAAAATACAAAATTATCATCTACTTAATCCTTTATATACCTACCTACCTATCTACCTATTATAAATCCCAATATCTTTCTTACAGAATCCAAAACTAAACCTCTAAACCTCTAAACCTCTAAACCTCTAAACCTCTAAACCTCTAAACCTCTAAACCTCTAAACCTCTAAACCTCTAAACCTCTAAACCTTAAACCTCTAAACCTCTAAACCTCTAAACCTATAAAATATCAAAACATCAAACCATCTATCTACTCCATCTATAAAAATAATTATATCTCAATATCTCAATATCTATCCCCTCAAAAATATCTCTATTTCTTTATTCCTCTTCATCGCTCCCCCTCACTCTCCCCCTCCCTAAACTCACTTAATCATAAAATTACTCAATCAATCCAAATTATTCAAATCTTCAATTCCTCATTAACATACTATTCAATATATTATCCAAAATACATACATAAATACATACACATACACACTAACCTATCCAACCCCAAATCACCCTATAAAATCCCATATTTCTAAACTAGCATCAGTAGTATATTCAGCTCCAACCCCATCTCCATCTATAAAACCCCATCCTATCCCAAGATCCCCAGATTCCAGATTCCAGATTCCTAATATTTTCAAGCAAGAAAACCACACTGCGCCAAACGATTCCCATACCCATGCGATGCCATACCTTGCGATGCGATGCGATGCGATACCAAATTGCTACATGTCAAGAACCCAAAAAGCCAACCCTAGACTAATCCAGCTTGTTTATACTCCGAGTAATGTAATCACAATATTCACAAATCCCGTTCCTAATAATGCCTATAAATCTCCCCCTAGCTTCTCGCTTTCAAGATCCGTTTCTCTCTCATTTCCACCAGCCATCTCCATCGAGAGCCCTACACCTAATTCCCTCAATCTTGTTGCCAACAATCCTTCGGCGGGAGATTGTCTCCCCTCTCTATCGGGAGTGTTGACTCTCGTTGGCGAGAATCCATCACTGCCATAACCCAAATCGTCTTTCTTCAATTTCTCATATAATCCCGTTCCTAACCCACTTCTCATACCACCCATTTCTACCTCTCCAAACGCCGTACCCGGTCTCGAATTATAATCCGAATTTAATGATTCCCTTGTCCCCAAATCCAATGGTCCAATATTACTATCTCCGTCCGTCATACCCCTCTTCGCAGGAAATTGAAAAGGAATAGGATCCACCACTCCCCTATTCGATGCACCGTCATCACCTCCAAAATCAAAATTCCTATTTCCACTCAAAGGAAATCCAGAACTTCTCCTCCGAAACGCCTTTTCCGCCGCCAATGCCGCACCTGCACCTCCAAAACTCGAATCGCGAATTGCTTTATAAGTAGTAAATTTCGGTTCTGGAAATGTGATTTCGTTGTGAAGCTTTTCTTTACCATCTGGAACACGATTGGCAAAGACGACTCGTATGCTTTTGTAAAGATAGTAGCGACCTCGAGCTGGTGAGCAAATATGGATATGAACTAGATAGCGGAGGGTAGGTCTTTCAGCGAGTGGATCAATGATAGGTGCGGATCGATGAGGCGAAGATGAAAGTGCCGAATCAAGAATAGGCCCGGCGGAGTAGCTCCGTTGACGGATAAACGTTTTAGTGCCAGGTTCCATTCCAGTGAGATCATATGGGACGAGAAACAATTTGACAGCTGTTTTGTTAGGGTTCTTGATGATAATTTGCAATTGCCCTTTCTCGGGGATACGATAGCTACCACCCGGAGGTGCTCGTGGAGAAGTGGATCGACGTTTCTGTTTTCCTGCTCTACGAATTTCTCGTTCTGAGACTTGTCCTGAACTTAATGGGTTTGTGTCGAGATCATCCGTATGTATTCGGTCAAGCGTAGCATTTCTCCTCCTCTTTTGATTATCCTTGGCTTTCTCGGGGCTCGGCAATCCATTTTCTAAATCAATACAGCCAACATATGGACTAGGCCCATCATCAGATTTCCCTCTCCGACCATGACTTGTGGATTCATAGGCATAAAATACTGCCGGAAATGATAGGGTCACATGAGGTGGACATTTGAGACTCGGTTTGCACTTTCCGAACCCCAGCACCCCTATTTGAGCAACAAAATCGAGTGGTTTCGAGGGTGTAGTAGACATTCGTCCCCGAAGGATACTCTCTTCGTACGATCCCACCATCGAAGCATGCAGAGGCGATAAATCTGAAAATGAAGGTCTCCTAGACCGCGAGAAAATCGGTGTTTGCGGAGAAGATGTCGAGTGGGGCATTGTGTTGGAGGCAAGAGATCTCCGAGGTTGATGAGCTTGGTAAGGATATGTATTATCTCTCCTAAGACTCGGTAAAGGTTTGTTAAAAGCAGTGGATCCCGGTATAGAATTACTTGAATATATTGAATGTGAAGCCTGCAAAGTATGACGTCTTGAGTTAGTTTTAGGTGTCCCGGGAGAAATGTCTATTGGATTTAAATTTGACGTATAATCTAAATCGTCGTTACTTTCTGATTGTACTAAAGGGCTTGTTGGTGCTTTCAATACAAAGCTCGAAGAGTATGAAGAGGATAACGATGGTGCACGAGTTCTTGTTCTTAGCTCTGCTTCAGCTCTATCCACTGATGGAAACCGAGGATCGAGTTGAAAGGGAGTAAAATTTCGCGGTGGAGATGTAGCTAGCCATGGTAAATTTACTGTACCAAATCTCTTCATATCCTGTGCAGGACTACCAGATATAGTTTGTTGTGGACCTTCCGTGAAATTCCCACTGTGTAATGCGGACCTTGGTCGTTCAATCTCTAGACCAGCTTGTAAGCTAGGTTTGTCTACCGACGAGGGCCTGGTAGTATTGGATATTTCGGGAGATGGCAATAGGGGAGATGAATTCGAATGATTCGAGGACTTTCGAATGGGAGTTTCTGGGCGTTGTCCATGAAGTAGGGACTCCAACTGTATTCACTGTCAATATAAAATCACATGCATTGGAGGTCAATGATTCACACACATTTAAATTCGGGAACCAACTCGAACTTTCGCCCCTTTTCAACCTTTCAATAAGGTCCCCTCTGTCCAATGTTCCGCTGTATGAATTCTTCAAGCTTGTATCCAAACCCAAAGTCGGTATAGTCTTTGATCCCTCGGGGGTATCTGGTACAGGGCCTTCACATAATTCCGTTCTAATGCTTTCTTCACTATCTTTCCTCATGATCGTTCTTCTTTCCGGTGGTGACATTGAAACGGGCGTCATTTTTGATTTTTGAATGGGCAATATCTCTCGGCCGTCACCGAGGTCATCTTGGAATATGGGCATGATGAATGGATGTGTGAATGGAGCCTTTTGAATTTGCTCCTTTTCGTTTGGTTATAAGAACATTTCAACGTAAATTTTGGATACTTCGGGGTGGAAGAGAGCTTTTATCTGGTGTGATGATGTGGATTTGGAGGGATGATGTTGTGACGAGGCGGGGGACAAGTGGTGGTTCCTTATTCCTTTGTCTCTGCCGATGTGATGTCGTATTGTATGCAGGACGTGTACGACGAATGAAAGGATGAGATGATGATCTGATATTTGATGAGAATTGATATTAATAAGAGAGAAATGTGGAAGATGCGCGTTCAATAAATTCAGTAATGAGAATGCAATTTAACAGTTCGATATAAATGTATAGATAGATATATATATATATATATACTAGGTATATATATATATATATGTGATAGTTAAAAATGTAAATAATAAAGAAGACAAGAAATGGAAGAGAGGAAAGAAAACGAAGACGTCTTCAATGTACAGACCGGTATATGCTTGCTGTATGATGACTCTGCTCTCCCAAACTGATAACCCTACGATTACCGCGGATGCATTAAAATTCCACTATTCTACGTTATCGCTCTTGAGTACCGGGGTACCCTACAGATGGAAGAGTGGTAGGTATCAATTATATCATGCTAACTCGTATTCAATTTGGTGTCATCAGGTGTGAATCTAGTAAATCTCTGCATATGTCTAGTAAATCTCTGCATATGTAATAAGTCTCCACTAAAATTTTCTCACAAGACCCTTCCAGTTCAATTCATTCCACCAAGGTATCACATTACATCCTCGATTCTCATATTTTTCATTTCATCCCAGTATTACAATTTCACAAACGTGTTTCCACTCAACAAATTCCACAAATGGCTCCCACCAAGCGCCCCCGCGAAGAAGATAATTCATCACGCTCAACGACCAAAAAACCTCGCCACGGCTTCAAAGTTGGCCCCGACAATTTGCCCGATGGAACTTGGCGTCGAAAGGTCATTGCCATTAAGAAGGACTTGATTCATAAGGCGAAAGTCAAGAAGTCGTATGCAAAAATAAAGGCGAGGGAACCTTTGAAGGACGAGAGGAAAATATATGCCGATGATGAGGATAAGGAGGACGAGGTAGCAAAAAATGAGGAAGGGGAGGATGCTATCGAAGGAGAAGAACCAGCGGAGCTCCATCCCCAGAGAAAAGCTATGCTTGATGAACCTGAAGCCGCCACCAAAACCGTTCCACGTTACTCGAATAATTCTGCAGATGCAAAGGACAAGAAGAGGGAAAGGGGTGAAAAGAGAGGAGCAAAGCCGGCATATTTTGCAAAAGAATTAGCGTTTGCTGAGAAGCAAAAGGCAGAACAGCAAGCTCGAAGAGAAGAGTTTGAGAGGAAAGAAAGGGAGAAAAAGGCTAAAATTGAGGAGCGGGAGAGATTCAGGCGGCAGATGGCAAAGGCTAGAAGTGGAGGAAAGAATGGGCAAAGAAAATTAGGAAGGGAGAGTCAGGTTTTATTGGAGAAGGTCAAGAGGGTTGTGGGTAATTGAAATGTTGGTGGGATTTGAGTAAAGTAAAAAACGAGGGAGTCGTCGGGAGACCTTTTGAATGGATGTAATGGTGGATATTAAAAAATGCAGCAGCGAGCTGCTCAGGGAAGGCTGGAAAAGCTTATGATACCCATGAAGTTATCACAGAGGAATGGACGAAAGGTCTATGTAGAATTATGGCGTTATGGCCGGTGCTTCCAACAAGCGTTTTTGCATCATGGCACTTTCTCAAAGGCATATTTAGTTAGTGTCTTGAATTTAAACAGAGATTGAGGTCATTTCTTCACTGCGATTTGCATTTTATATTGACAAATTATCATTAACGCTGCTATACGACATACTATGTACTTCACTCTCCTAGTCCTACACTTCACCTAGTACTTCGTCTGATCATCGGACTTCAACCTGGACAATTGGAAGCCCTTTACCCTCCAGCCTATCCACAAAACTCCAGTTCTTCAAGAGCACCACTCAAAGCCTGTTTGACTTTTATCTTTTCCTCGAGTTCCGCTTCGATTCTTTGCATCTCGGCTAGATTAACAGCCTGGCTTTCCAGCTGCTCGGCTCTCCTCAAGATCATGATATCTAGTTCTTCCGCAGTATCATCAAGTTTCTTCATGTCATCCTCTCTTGCTTCCTTGACTCTCAAATAATTCGCTCGCAAGTTAGCGATTTCGAGATCGGTCCGCTCCTGCTGTTCCCGTAACAACTGTTCCTCTGGTTTCGAGCCGTGGCTGTTTTCGGACTCGATATCACTTGTGGAGACTGGCTGGGACAATGGGGTCTCTTCGATTGTCTCGCTTGATGTCAAGGAATCATCAAAGGATGGAGGTGTTGCCAATGTCAGAGGATCGCTCGAATCTGTGCTTGCCGAGATGTGGCTGGAGTTGAAATTGCCGTGATTATCCATCTGTGTCATACCATCCGTTCCACTTGGTCGCATTGCGGGTGGAGTGGCGAAGCCCCACTCGTCACCAATCAATCGTACACCGTCTTCTGCATCCTCTGTTTCGTTCGGCTGGAGTGGTGGTGTATCATCAACCTCTTCTGACATTGTCTCTTGGAAATCGATTCTTTCGTCTGAAGTCGTTGGCTCTCCCGAATATACTCCCTCATTTGACGTCATTGTCTCACCCAGTTTCAAAGCTTCCTCGGGCGTAGTTGTCTCATCTGATATCATGGATTGATAATCTGCCAATGCAGGTGTAGGGGAGAAGCGAGAAGTGGTCGAATTCCGAGCTGATGGCACGGAATCTCGCTCGTTCTGCGGCTCGTCTTCGGTTACGAACAAAGGACTTCCGGGCGGGCTGGCGGCTGGGGATTGAGGAGGAGCATAGGCTGCCTGCGGCTCGGTAGTGAAAGGTTCAAATCGCTCGCCAGCAGATGGCGCGATTAATTGTAGAGGGTACTCTTCTGCTCTTTTTGCCGTCTTGTCTTTAACTCTATAGCCACCCGCCCAACTTTTGTTGTCATGTGCTACCATACTTGCCATCCGTGGCTTGTTGGCTCTGGGCGTCTTGGGAATCTTGGGCGATTTTTGCGCCAGGGAAACTTTAAATCTCACTCTGCTACTATTAAGCTGCGAATTTCCTCGTCTTTTCCTGGGAGCATCGTCGACTGGAGAGTCTTCTGGTGTCATGATCCCATTCCCATGTTGCATTCTACCAGCGTTAACACGAAGATCGCCAGGCTGCGAATAGTAACCGGTTTCGTGGTAGCCGAAGTGCCTGTGACCATGCTGCTCAAACCACTCGCGATATTCATCCGATTTCCGGGTATATCCTTCCTTTCTCATTGCTACCCCGACCATCGACCACCAGTACTTCTTGGACTTCACACGATATTCCTTATTTACACATGCTTTCACCACTTCAAAAAGGAGGTTCTTCTCTTTTTGAGTCCAATGCTTAGATTTTCGGGCTGGGCCTGGTGCCGCGACAGTCTCGGTAGTCTCGGTAGTCCCAGGAGTTACAGAGCTCTCGGAGGTGACTGGTGCTGTGGCCAATCTCGCTACATATGCTGCTTTAGTGCTTTCAGACTTGGTAGTCTTCAATTGCCTATATCTTTCCACCTCCTTGTCGACCTCATCTAGATTTTCTGGCCAGCGTGGAGCGATGTCTCTTTGCATACCCTTCTTGCGCCAGTACAACCAACAGTCGTGTACTTCGAGAAATGTACCGGTTTTCGCAACGTTATTGCACGCTCTGCTGAGAATCTCTATCGCACTCAAGTAATTATTACCCGAATTTTCTGTAATCGTTTTGGTGATAACGTCACACATTAGCTTGGTGAAGCGGCGTATTGGGCCTCCGGCATGCTCGGAAAGGAGCTCGTACTCGTCCTCGGCTCTTGATGGAAGGGCTTCTTCTCTCTCTGGGGAAGCAACGACTTCTGCAGGATGCGAGACCAGTGGAGCTGACTCCCATTCTTCTGTTGTGTTTGCAGATCCTGCAGCACCGCTAAGCGAAGTTCTCGCGGTGTCGAAGCGTGTATTCTCTGACCCCTGAGTGGTGGTCTCACGCGTACCAGGACCGAGGGGCGAAGGGTGGTGAACCGCATGATTGCGGTATGAAGCTCGAGGAAAATGTGGATTGTTTGTTCTACGGCTTGGTCTATAGCTATCAACTTCTCTTCTCGGTGTACTTCCAGAGTGTTTTGAAGCGTACGAGTCTGAGTCTCTTCTTGAGTCTTGATACTCTGCGAACATTTCTCTTTGTGACTTTAACATACGTGGTTCTTTTCTTGGCGGATCATCATTGTCGCGTTTTCCGAAGGAATTGATGCTGCTCTGTCGTTCCATGTTGAATTATGTTTAGAGAGGAGGTGGTGGTTGTGAGATGTTGAAAGTAGAGAGAAATCCAGAACCCTTAAGTAATTCTCAAGAGTTCGCCTAACGATGTAGTAAACCGTAGAGGCAGAGAGCGTATTAAGTAAAGAGGGAAGGACTTCAACCTCCAGGGCTGATTGTGTCTGGCGATTGAGTTATTGAATGATGTTGTGTGTTGCGAGAGAGAATAAAGTTCTGGAGCAGTGCGAGGAGGGTTGTTAAATCTATCTTGCAACCTCGCGTAGCAACGAGAAAAACTGTGTTTACAGTACAGACTGTGGTGAAAAATACGCTAGTGCTCTCGAGTCTATATTCAGTACGTTCATCGCGACGAGAAATTTTTATGAGCGGGACAAGCCGTGGTGAGAAACGCGCTAGCGTTTCCGAGTCTATGTTCAGTATGGACATCGTGCCTACAGAATCGTATGGTCAGTACAGACTGTAGCAAGTAATGAGCTAGCGCTCTCGAGTTCATTCTCAAGATTGGTAGATAGTGAGCCGTATAGACCGTAGTAAACGCGACAGAATATCAAAGTGTATTCTCCAAACTTCTGTTGCGAAGGCAAATCATATGAACCGTATGGACCGTAGTGGGTGACGCGACAGGTGAATCTCGAACTTCTCAGTAACGCGAAAAGCCGTATGAGCTGTGCAGCCTTTTAGATTGATAAGTTCTGTGGAAAAAATTTGCTTCGGCAAACCTGATTTTCTCAATGCGTTGAATTGTTCGAATTTGTTGAGACGATTGTCTGCTTCTCACGTTTGGGTGATATCACACTTTCTATTCACTATTGCACCAGCTGCATTTTGTATCATTATATTTATAGGTCTTAGGGTACTTTCGTATGTCTTTTGCCAACGAGTATAGCAACCAAGTCCCTGGGGTTTCTATCTGCGGCTTGGCAGTACTGCAGCGGCGTATCTGGAACTGGCATTGGGATATGATGAAAGTAATCATCCGAGCCGTAACTTTTATACTGCCACAAGTATACATCGATTAGATATCTCCTAGGCTCATCTAAATTCTTGATCGCAGGTTGAGTTTGATATTGGGATCCAGACTTGTGAAGGTACAGGAGGACCATGGATCGGGATAGTCATAGACCTTAACAGTATCTATTAGTCTGATACAGCCATTAGGGCACGGTCTTATATCATTCCATATCCTTCTTAACTATTGTTAGCGTGTGATTTGTTGTTTAGATAAAAATGCACCGCCAGGGTCTGGCATATGAATGATCACAATAATAGATTTGACTGATATATCGAGTATGGTAGTACGTAACTGTTAGCATTATCTAATGTTTGAAAACGAATCTGTTCAGAACTTTGAGCCCAGAAGTCAAGTGGTTGTAATCGTAGCATTCTCGCGGTTTGTCAATCAAACGATGCTTTCAATTGTTTATTTGACTGTTATATCAATCTAAACCCTCATGTCTCACCAAGTACTCAGCAATGAACCGATGAGACCCCACAACATCCGAAACATAATCTCTCTCCCCCGCAGGCCTGTCCACAAGCGCGAATAGTCCAAAGGATCTCTCATATATCAAAATGGCAAAATAGTAATCTACACGCACAGCCCTGGAGAACCATGAATGGACCGGTTAAGTGAGCTGGCCTCACTAACACACATTCTTTACAGCATTGTTAGACCTTATCATCTGAATCGAGAAGTGCGCACTAGCAAGGTGAATTACGATTAAGATTGAGATAGATGTATTCCCCTTTGTTAAAGTCATTCTACATGTATACCCAAAGATCATACAGAGAAATCAACCACACCAAGTACCCCATGGTACTTAAAAGGTCTTCAAATCCCCAAGACTAGTAGGACGAATCGAAAATATGTAAAAGTCGGTATTATCAAGGAAACTATCCAGAGTAGTGAGAAATCCCAACCAAAGTAAAGAAATAGACATGAAACTTTTCCCAGCCCAAAGAAATTACAATGCCCTCCTTACAGCACAATACACTTAGTAGTCGTCAAGGAAGCTTTCAATCATCGCAATACGCTTTGTGGCTTTCTCGCGAATTTCCCGTTGAGCTGTAAGCTCCCGTTCTTTTGCATGTGCAGCCTTAAGCTCCAGATCTGCTCTTTCCTTGTGAGCAGCTATAGCGAGTTCCAATTGTTTGTATTCCTCCTCAGCCGCGTGTACCTTTTGTTGTTCCATTTCCCGATTTGCTTTCATAACGGTGGTCACATCAGATGTACTGTCCGGAATGTTTCTTTGTGGTGCAGACTTGAGAGAAGGTTGTTGGACTTCGATAGTTGATATCGCAACATCATTCGCTGAAGGTTCATTCGGTTCTGGTATAATTGAGCGACGACCAAAGGTCTCGGGTTTCTCCTGAAGATCATATGTTAGAGAAACTTTCAAAGAAGCAGCGATTGAATGGTCAAAATAGAACAGGATTCTGAACTTGCCTGAGATTTCGAGTCAACCAGAATTCCCCCATGATTTTTCATCAAAATCTCCGGGCCCAGGCTGTGGCGAGCTCTTTTGGCTGGGTTTTCCTCTTCTTGAAGATGATAACCAATGTCTGACACGCGATATCGCTTCAATCCCATACTTTGAACCCCTGTTTCATCGAGAATGGGAGTAGATAGATCTTTTTCGCTCTGCAGCTTAACTTCCTTTTGAATGTCTGCTTCTTTCGCATCTATAGCTCTCTGATTTCTATACCACAACTGAGTTTCCTTCATTAGTGACGATGAACTCGAATAATGACCTAATCAATGCACTCGTACCTTAATCTGCTCTCTGCTCAAACCTGTATCCTCTTCCAACTTGTTCACCACAGGGTTATCTAGGTGATTGTATTTTGTATACTCAATCATCAGAAGATCATGCTGCTGAGATGTAACCTGGACTTGTACATCTCCCATAGCCGTCTCAGCTCTCGAATTATTCTGCTAATCCAACATTGTCAACAATCTTTGAACTATTGTGTGCGAAAGCTTAAATAATAATTACCTGGAAATATTCTTCAGTTGAGGATTGAGGAGTCGAATTGCAAGGGTCAATTTTATGCGCTGCGTGCCCCGGAGAATTTTGTGCGGATTTCCCTCCACGCACTCGAACTATTCCACGCGAGGATTTCTCAATCGTATCTGGAGTTCTTTCATCGAAGTTGTACTTTTCTCTCCCCTTGTTCTTCCAGTAGATGTAAATGTTTGGAATTTTTCGGTAGATCTGACGTTGTTCTAAAGCCTTTGCCACAATGCGCCAAATTTGATCCGCCGTGATGGGTTCCAGTTTGAGTTCTTTCTCTTTGTCTCGTTGACTTTTGATGCATTGGTATGCAATATCACTCTCTTCATCCGACCAATTGCTTCCTGTCGCCCAAGGTTTAAAAGCATCCTCTCTGGACTCAATTTGGAACAAAACGTCACTTTTAGTGTCAGTCTCTCCATCGAAGTCCACAATTCCCTCTTCGTCTCTTTCTTCGTCTTCAGTGTCACTGGAGTCCCAATGATTAGATTGACCTTTCTTCGACGATTTCATTCTAGGTGGTTGAATCAGACGCATCCATTTAACATGAATGGCATTTGCTTGACGATCGAATCCGTGTTCTTCCATTTCATCGGCGACCTTCTCCCAGAATGGGTTGTTCTTTCCACGTATGTCAACATGTTCCTGACGACTGCAAATTTCCTTTAGCTTGGCAATCTCTTCAGAATGCCATCTTTTAACCTTTCCCATCGCAGAATCTTCTGATACTAGCAAATGATCTAAACAAAATAACAGTTAGAAGTTTAATGAAAGTTGAAGGTAGTTAGGGTAGCAAAGAAAGATCAGTCGATAGAGTACACAATGAGAAGCTCAAAGTATAAAGCCTTCGTAAGTTGCTGCCTACGGGCGAGCTGGCGATTATTCAATGATGAAGTTCTATGATGTCTGAAAGTATTTGAAGATAACACACGGAAAACTGGGAAGGCGTGTAAAAGCAAACGTGCTGTGCCGCAACAGGGTTATCGCGTAAAGTCTATTTTTAACGTATCGAGGCGCGTGTTGATAGGTCTAAACTGAAAAGTCACATGCACACGCGATTTTGTCCTACATACCTAGGTAGACAGGGCATCCATCCATCCATTCTTTTATGTAGGATTGAAATTTCCATGGTGAATGTTTATCAAAAGAATCATATTTTCATCTCAAGGCATAGGTTCATTGCCATTAGGAATTCACGAAGATTTATTCTCAACACCTCTACTATCGACCAGAATATAATTTATTGTCCCCTCTCCTAGTTCGTTCATTTGGTCCACCCATTCACATATACGGAACCCTACATGTATACAGTAGCGAGCAAGAAGAGGCGAGCTGATTCATTTGCTTGCTTTCCCAAAGATTTTATTAGTCCGCATTCAAGGACACCTGCAATGAGTTTTATGTGGTATATTTCAAGGATTGTTTCAAAGTGTAGATGATCTTTTACTTCCTACGACAAATCTTCTCGTTGATTGTGAACTGGCTTCTCCCCTCGAGACTTTGTTAGGCGATCGTCAATTTCTGCTTGTACACTTCTTTGTTCGATTTCAGCGACTTCGATTAGACTCTTCGACTGTTGAGATGTAGAGATCCCCTGCACTGTCTAGGAATCTTCTGGATACTTATTAGATTCTGGTGATTTTTTCTTTATTATTGGAATTCTAGTCTCGGGGGGGGAGGAGGGGGTCAGGTGATGCTGAAATATCGTTGTAAGCTGCAAATCCAGGGGCGCTTTCCATTTTACTGGCCTCATTTATGACTTACACAACACATCCGCTTCCATTTGATCCGACTATTGAAACATCACCTGATAGATACATCGGAGACTGGAGCGTGGAACTGGGTGGTGAAAGAATGAGCAACGCCTGGAAAATCTGATGGCTCATGTAGCATATGAGAATAGTTCTATATATTTTCATGGTGTAGGAGCTTGCATTGCAAATTTGTAACCAAAGTGTTGTCATATGCCCGCAAAATCCAACGCGGCAACCTCTGAAGCACCGCCAAGATAGGTGTTCTAAATCGTGCTAACCCTTATAAAAGGGTCGAGCCATTCTCTTTTCCTCACATGCCTCTCTTATTTGCGGAACCTCTCACTCGACCACCTGTAGTAACATTCACATCCAATCTACTAAACCACTTTCCCAGCCATATCTCTTGCTCCTCATCCACCCCGCATAACAAAATTTCCTTCAAAGTCTCAATTCCATAATCCTTATACCTTAACTCCGGAACTACATAACGAAGCTCATCTGCCCATTTGCCCGTTTTCTTGAGCTTGCGCCTTCTCAATGGCAGTCCTAACATTTTCCGAGTTTCGCCATCTGGATCGTCGTCGAGTGGACGAAAGGGACGTTTGATTGGGGGTTTGGCTTTCTGGAGTAGGGATTGATTAGTGCATGTGGATGAATAACAAGGAACAAGGGATGGATGGCAAGAGTCTTACTTCTTTCCCCGCTAGGGCCTTCTTTACTAATTCTAATTCCTTTTGTTGTTGTCTTTTTTCATATTCGGAGATAGGCTCGGGGAGGTTTCCAGTAGCTGCCCGGTTTATCAGTATTAAAAAAGGGTTGGATATTAGGCAAAACACACACCTCGTAGTGCATTATCTTTCTCTCTTTTTTCTTGGGCCTCTAAGCGCTCGATGGATCTTAGTAGACGATCGCGCTCTTTAGCATTGATAGCTCTCTCACGCGGATCCTTGAAGGAAGTATCAATGACAGCGAGAAGTTGCTTTCTAAGTTCCTCGATCCGAATTCTCAGTTCAGACTTTGGTTTCGTCTCATACCTAACAGCAAATGGTGTGTTTGACTTTCTAAATCTTTCCAGTGGGGCCTCATAGTCTTCTTCGTTGTCACCAAAAATATTCCGAAAAGTGTTTCTTTCTGGCTCTTCATATATTTTCGGCTGGGCTGATAGCATAGAAGCCTCCTTTGTAAATTTTGGGGATTCATTTTCTGTGGGGACCTGAAGCTTAGCTTTTATAACCTCCCTGCGAAGGAAAGCTTGGAGACCGAGTTTCTTGGTCATAATGATGGGTCAAGGTGGCGGAGATTCAAGCACTTGGTATTTTTGGGAGAAGAAGAGAAAAGGCCGGTATTAGGTACTCCGCATACTTACTGCAAAGATTTCGATTTGATAACGAAGCACTTAGATACTAATCTAATCCAAAGATGCGGGGTAAGCACAAGATGTTGGTGAATATCAGATCAATACCACAAGACACTGACAACATTTTCCCCTGAATTCATTCGGCAATGAAAATAAAGCTTGGCAATCCATAGCACTTTGGCAGCCATGCCAGAGCCACGTCAGAAAACATAAAGGGACATAGATATTGAACAGCTATAGTCAAGCAGGCTCAGTTGCACACCAGGAAAGTCTGTGGCAATTTCCTGGGTATGTGAGGAATCACAACTCGACGAAGACAATGAAAATTGATTTGCTGGCAACTTAGCTACTTGGCTAATTCGAAATTTTGAAATACACTAGTACTGATTGAAACATTGCTTCACACCCAAATGAGTCGAAGCATCGTTATCTGAAAAGGAGAGCAAGTGCTCTGTCACTTTAAAATATGATCCGATCTTGAGGGCAAACTTACATCGATCTTGTTGGTCCACTTTACTTCGTTTATCTCAGCTTTCAAAAAACGTATCATACAATTTCAGCTTTGCCGACAGTAGTTTATCATCGCTAGTTCGGAAAATTTAGTTTTAAATTTGACCTGAATTATCTCCTACTTTGTTTTTTGTAAAAGCTCGACAACTTTCGGTCTTCGCCAGCAACGAGGAGTCCACCAACGTTTTATCATACAACCTTCGTGAGTATTATCATCTTGTTTGTCTTACGCTCAACGGTATCAATTTGTTTCTGAAGGTGGATACTAACTTCTCAACTTTGCAGCCCATCGATAAAAATGGAAGCCGATTCAGAACAACAGTTGGCAGAAACAGCTGTGCGTTGGCATTGGAGCTTGCCGGAGGAAGAATGTCTAGCTCGGCTCGTCAATAAACACAAGAAAAAAGCTGAAGACGGTGAAACTCATACAGGCAATCTCTTTGACGGGGTAGCCATCGAACTCAATGGACTAGGATTTGGCATAGAAAGAACTAGTGGTGCATGTGCCAGTAAATGGCGTCGAATGAGCGATAATCAATCAAAGCTGCGTGGCAACACATTGTCAAATGGCTCGAATTGGGATTATGACTTTGATGACACTGGAGACTTTATCACAGATGAAGATGAAGTTGACAAAGGTTCCAATAGCATGATTGATAAAAACCAGAAGATAAGTAGACCTATATGGAGCGAAGAAGAATCGAGAACCCTCTACGAGAATATCAAAACTCTTCTGGAATTGAGCAATCAAGAGAGGTCATCAAAGTTTACTAATACAAAGCAACTTTTCAATCATGTAACCGCACTGCACAGAGTCAAAGGTTATTTTAGATCTTCAGATGCTTGTCATCACTATTGGAATACCACAGGTCGCGAGTTGTGGGACTATGATGAGCGAATTGTTGGAGATTTCAAGGTCAGTTTTCAAATTACGACTCACATCAAATATTCTAACTATCTTTCAGACGAATGATGCACGCGATGCAAAGGACATAAACTCTTCCTTCAAGACCAATGAAAGAGCAGTTGAGGACGTCAAGAAGTCAAAAAGATTTACACCTAGTCAGATAAGTGAACTGAGTCAATTAGCTAAAGAAACACTCAATCCATCCACGGAGCAAAAGGAGAAAGTTGCGAAGGATCATGGCATCAGTATTTTCCAAGTTTCGGTATGTTTGAGTTCTCATCACACATCCCAAGAGTTTGTAGTTTCTAACGAGATTTTAAGACCTATTTCGCAAATAAGAGATCCACCCAAAAGAAGGAAATGGCAAAAAACGCGTTAGACCACGAAAGTTCCAAACGGAAGCAATCTGGAAGACTGGAAGCAGAGTTCGCTGATGGTGACGAGTCGACTGTTGCTCGAGCAGATAATGTTTTGAGGGACACAAAGAAACCCAGACTGTCAAGTTCCTCTCACATAGCATTTAATAATGATGGGAAGAGTGCTAAGCTACCATCATCTATCGAACAAGTGAGCGGGAATGAGTACATGCCGTGTTTGATCATTGCTAACATATAGCTAGGATTATATTCGAAAGCATTCTGCCTCACCACCACTTCCAAACCCCACGAGACTGTACCCACCCGACAAAGACTTTATTGGATCGAATGCCCCTATCGAAATCAACAGTTCACCTATGCGCCCCACAAGCACCATGAAAGATGCACCGAATTCAGATGACGAGGCTGGATTCAAAGAGATGCAAGAAATGGTGCTCGTTCAGCGTCGCAGAATCGAGGAAAGAATTGCAGCATCGATCGATAGACGAAAGCAACTGGAATTGGAAACAATTAGACATCAAACCAGGGCGGATATGGAGCGAGAGGCGGCGGAAGGAACCCAGAAAAAAGTTGACGAGGAATTCAAGGTCGAGGCTCGATTGAGGACTAGACTCAATCAAATCGGAAGCTTGTAGAGAAGAGGACAAGAAAAGATGTTCATGTGTCATTAGCATTGATATGTTTTTGAGCTGCGAGCGCCGCCCTTCTTCTTTGTAATCATATTAAGAAAGAAACGCCGTATGAAGGACAAATAGTAGATGCAGTTAGTAATGATACAACAATGAGTTCACAATCATAAAGCGTAAGACACTCTCCAACATTCAAAGCCACAGAGAATCTACCCTCGAGTCGATTATCTACGAAAATACTGGGTGCATTATCTTAGGACTTGATGTGTAGTGAATGATCATGAAGCTCCTTGATGCAAGAACACCGGCCCAACAGTCTCGCCATTTCATGTATGCATTGGCACACGGTTGACACATGATACTCCACGAAATTTGTCATTCTGCAAGTCACTACATAGAACAGATTCAATGAATGAGTGAATATCATGATCAAAAACCCCTCATCTTATTCTAGATTCAACCACACCCAGCAGCAATCTCCGAGGTGCCACCTCTCCTCGTCCGAAGGTCTCAGGAAATGACTATCTACTTATTCCCCTATGAAGCTAAACCTTTTTCAACCACCTCTGTATGCACCGCCCTTCCATTCACTTGATATCACTTCGGGGAATCACTTATTCCGCTTGCTTTGATAGAAAATCTGATGCGCTAGTGGGAGGTACCGAGAGGAGTAAAATATTGCACTTTTATTTCTCGCGACCATATCCCTCTTTTATCCACTTCTCAACAACAACCTTTGGACCACCTGACGTCCAACATCTGTGTCGGGGGTTTTTTTACGCGCTTTGCGCATGTTCTACGCTGAGTGTACTTGTTCGCAAAATTCATTTCATTCAAACGTCGAGTTCAATTTTTTTGTTTTTTCCCACAAGCCTTGTGTCGAGAATTGAGTTGCACGAACTCTTTTCCAACGACATCATCTCATCCATCAACACCCAATCCGAATACAATCAAATCTTCAAGTCACCTGCTGCCTTATGCGCATTGAAGTAACGTCTCTTCAATCTTCACCCTTCTCATTCTTCCGATTACAAAGCAAATCTACGACCTCAAATTTCGGCATAATGGCGCCACCTGATGAGACTTCTGTCAAGGAGGTACCGGCTCTCACCAAGGATGCAGAGGTAGAGAAAGCAGACGAGCACAAACATGCAGAAGAGGAAGATGTCCCGACACTTCGATCACCAAATCTCGATGTCATTGGTGTCAAAAATGTCAATCAAGAGGTCAATCAGGGTGTCAATCAAGAACTCAATCAAGAGGTCAATCGAAAGGTCAATCGAAAGTTCAATCAAGAGGTCAATCGAAATGTCAGAAAGCGCCTTCCATACACAAAATGGTCAGAAAAGGAAGAAGAGATTGTTCGAGACATCATTGACAACCATAAAAGCAACCCAGAGACATCTAGAATGACTCTTGGAGAGCTGGATATATATTCAGTCAAGAAGCTAGCAGAGGCAGGATTCATCAGAACAGCATCGGCAGTTAGTTTTGTCCGGGGAAAACAACATTGTAAATTCGATTACAGCAAGGTATGTGATCTTGTTGCTAATATGCCCGAGTCAATTCGTGCCATGGAAGCAAGAGAAGATTCTGAGAAATCTGCCACCGTCGCACGCGAGTCAATTCGTGTCATGGAAGCAGGAGAAAATTCTCAGAAATCTGCCACCGTCGCACGCGAGTCAATTCGTGTCATGGAAGCAGGAGAAAATTCTCAGAAATCTGCCACCGTCGCAAGCGAGCCATTTCGTAGACGAAGTACAGTCCCTTTCCAGAGCGCAAGTGAGTTATGAATCATTGTTTTACTCGAATTATTCTAAACCTTTAGCTTCATTGCAGGAGTATGATACTTTGAGCAAAATGAAGAATAGCCAATTCGCTCTGAATGGCAAGCGGATTTACGAATCGTACAACGGCGATCCGGCAGTAGATAGTGCCAATGCTACTAATGCTGCTGCTGCTGCTGCTGCTGCTCGGAAACCGCAAGCACAGGCATGTTCCATGGCGACCAACGGCGCATTTAACTCAGTAACCAATGTTCCTTTTATCATTTTGAAACTTGATCAGCTGAACTTCTTGCTGACATAGAACAGCAGCAGGGCTTCCAAACGACTTCTGGATCCAAATCCTGTGAAGTTCGCAAGAGACAAAGTGAGATGGGGTTGAAGATGCCGCCAGCATCAAAGCGGATGAGTGTCACCAATAACAGCAAGGAAACTCCTGTTGCGATCCGAAACGATTCACCATTAGGTCAACCACAGTCAGAGAGTGATCGAGTTGAACAAGCCAGAATTGAAAAAGTCAGAGCTGAATTAGCTGGTATAAAAGCAGTGTTCTTGGAATGTTTCCGAGCAAAGCATTGGTCTGAGATGATTGTAGGGGAATATGATTTTCGGCTCAAGGAGGCAGCGGATGAGGCAGCGGATATGGCAGCGGAGTATGATTCTCGGCGCAAGGAGGCAGCGGACAAGGCAGCGGAGTATGATTCTCGGCGCAAGGAGGCAGCGAATAAGGCAGCGGAGTATAATTCTCGGCGCAAGGAGGCAGCGGATAAGGCAGCGGATTACACAAAGCAAGCTAGCGAGAATGTGGACAAGATGCTCGAACTCCAGAAACTAAACCCAGAGTTCGAGAACTATGACTCATTCTAATAAATGTATAGTTGACAGGGCTGACTTTGATTCAGAAGACGACAATGATAATAAAAAAGTCTAAAATGAAGTGTGAAATGAAATGTGAATGAAGTGAAACCAAACGAGTCAAAACCTACCTTCAAGATATTTAATTCAGGATTCAGAACTATAAGCAGTAGCCTGCAAGATCTACAATTGAGAAGTTGGCGTTAAAGTATCGTTCTCCATTGTATTAAGCGAGAGACTGAACAAAGTCTCGTTAACACCAACGCATTCCAAGCGGTCCCATTCAATTTTTATTCCACTTATTACATCATTCAAATTTTCTTAAAGACGAGTTTCTTTCTATCCGTCATAAGGAACCAATAATATCAATTTAGAATATCAAAGAATTGGGAGGGAGATGGCTGCTCGGGAGTTTCCAGAGCTTGAGCGATATCATGTGTCCTTTCCCATGATCTAAATGAGGTGAAATCTGACAAGAACCTTGGTACAGGAGGTACGACAAGAAAGGAGAGGTCTATAATAGTACTGCTAGTGAGATCATCAGTCGCACTGAATGAATTATGAGATGGTTCATCGGGACGAAAACTTTTCGGCTACAAACAGTCACAAAGCAGGCCATCTCTCGAATTATGGCACCGGCGCTGCGAACAGTGCAAATGACAAAGCCCGGTGCGGAACAACCAAAAGAAGAAATCACTAACTTGTTATGCTATTTGCTATATAGGTAGACTATTCCATATGGAAAACAGGTGTATTTCTGGCCGCATCAGACAAATTCATAGAAATCTAACATGCAACGTCCGCACCTACTAAATTTAAAGACACTAATCTTTCTGCAACGATAAGTAACCGTGATAGCACTACAGGTTCAGACTGACAAACAAAATGCTAGGAAAATCTACAAACTCAACAACACTTATCATCATTCCTCCATGAACACGGGAACAGCCCACTTACCTCAGTAAAGTAAAACCTCCCAGCATATAAGCAACAGTCCTAGTACCACAAAAACGATATACCATTCCACTTGACGGTTTACCAAGAGACTATCGTTGAATACGTCACTAAAACCTCCAGCTAATCAGACAGCTACTTGGCTATCACATTATCGATTATACCGTTACAGCAATATTTAGATTGATGGATTGTTTCACTAAAACATCGAATGGACGTCTGCACTCACGTCAAAGTTAAATACACCACCGTAGAATACATCAGTTCCAACCGAGTGCTCTGAATACGAAACAAGGCATAGTCTAGACAGGGTTGAAGAGGAGCCGAGGGAATGGCGACGTGTGAGCGGGGGATGAGGGATGGACGAGTATGTGCGTCAGACTGAACTGCCTTTTATGCATGTTATGTGAGATGCAATGCGATTATATTATTGTGTTACGCTGGGCGTTGGTTCAATGTAGGATGATAAGTGTCACCCAGAAAGTGGGTTGGTAGATGCTGAGTAGGTATCAGTTTCAGGTCCGATAAGATTAGGGGCTGAGCTTGGAGTTTATTCATGCGGATGATTGTCAGTTGGTTGGAAAAAGTTGGTGAGTGTCGTTGAGGCGGCAGTTGGGAATTGCTGGCGATATGTTGGTGGTTTGTCCTGATACCCGTTGGACGGGTGCTATATAGCGCGTTGTGCTTGATATGAATCACGGATAATATTCAAGCTCACAACAGTTTCTCCCCCCTCTCGGTGTGGCACACCTCCAGATTCGACAAGAACGACGTCAAGTTTATTCACGTGACATTCCAACTCCCCTGCTCTCCCACCCACGAAAAGGCCGCGGCACTGGTGACCGGCATGAAACTTTTGGTAAGCGACAGGGACAATGATCTGAATGAAGGGTCTAGAACGGAGTTCTATTCTTGTGATTTGCTCTCCACAAATAATCTCCCTTTGAAATTCAATCAGACAGGGTCAACTCTGGACTCTGAAGAAAAGGATATGGTATATCATCCCTCGATCCCATATTTTCTGCAACTCCCTTTGTGATTGGGGTGATCAATGGGCCATGGGTCGAAATTTCTTGTTGGAAAACGCGGTCGAAACAAATCCAGGCGTTTCTTTAAGGAGGATCATCAAATTGACGCTGAAACATCGATGTAGTGTTTTAGGACAGGACAGATAGGCGGAGTTGCCGAATTAGGCATTGGCGATCGAATTATCTTTCTCAGCTGATAATTTGGTTCCTCCCGGATCAGAACAATGGTATGGAGCATAAATGATATAATTTAGGGAAGGAAAGTCGACGTAAGAGCAATTTAGGTTTGATTCTTCCGATGAACTATTTTCAACCTACGGCGCAGCTACGTAAATTATGTACTCAGCCTCGTCCAAGGAGTTCGAAGTAAAGATTCAAAATCAAGGGGAAATTGTCAAACTGGACATGTGGGCAGCCGCGTGTTTGGATAGAATCAAGCGTTATTTGAGATGTGGTGTATCTAGTAATGGAAGAAGCGGTAAATCATCAACATTGTTCCCGGCAACCGACAGGAGGATTTTCGAGGTACATACTTTAGTCTGGTTCTTGACTACTAGCTAGACCTTTGGCATCTTTCTCGACGGACCAGCCTTTCCAATATTGAGAAGTTTGAGAATTACTTATGGGAGTCTCCAAAAAGAAGTTTCGTGGAGTATAGACCGCAACAAGGAGTATCATGTGCAAAGAGTACTGTACTCTCATCCTGGCTTTGAGTGGCAGCGGTACTGTATGACGATAATCTTGTAATACGAAGAACACGATGTTATTCAAGATGCTTGGGAATTGGTGGCGAATGAATAACTACCTCGTATGTATATCTATAATTTCACGAGTACATATCAACATCCTGATTCGAACACAAAGACTCCATCTCATCATCTTATATGTACACACCATCTGTTTGGGATCATCAGATACAGCACACTCTTCAGCATGGAGAAATTACTATAGACTGGAAGAATCCATGGATTACAGCATAAATAACACGAGATGAAAGGATGCGTTGTGGAAGTTCATATCGCCACGTTCATCTTCTCTATATGTCATCTTTCGATCGGCGAATAAGATGTGACCCGTCCTTATGTTCATCGCGACATCTCCTTGGTTGAGGGTCTATATTTGAAACCCTTAAAAGTGCCACCATGCAGGAATAATCGCATCTCGTAGGCTAAACACTCTCTTGGTTCCATCGACCCATGGTTATTCCTGGTCTCGGATCAAACTCTGTTGGAACATTGAAATGTCGGGTCATTGTATGTATGTATGGACTGGGTTCCGAAGATTCATTGTTATCTTTTCGGTATTGGAGAACAATGGGAGGTCCTTATTGTGTCTCGAAATCAGTTGTAGTTATATATATTTGACGGAATGTGAGGAGTACAGACGACATTCCATCTTTCCCGTTCCTTGGGGTCAATATACGAAGAACATCGATATTCCTTACTGTGACCATTCTTCCTGTACCTTACGCCATGAGAGGAGAATATGAATATCCCTACCGAGGAACGAATATAAAACTGATACATATTCTCCATCCATACCTGCAGATTTGATCTGCAACGGTAATTAAATTCTGAGTGTTTGGTATCTCGAGTGGTCATCCTTCTTGTAGCTACCCATATAAACGGTTCACGGTATTGTTGAACTACAACATGATGAACAACCGTAGAGTGATTTCCGAGAGAGAAATAACTAAGAATAAATTGAAGAATGATCCGGCGGTAAGGAGAGGCGTTTTTGGGGTAATTCACTTATTGGGTAGTCGAAGGAACAATCTCACATCTCACATCTACGCCTCAAAAGAAAGATACCGGTACTACGGCAGAAAAGTTAATCTTCATATCGTATATTCCACTCTGTCTCTGCTTGAAAGAAAAAAGAGGTTAAAATTGATCACTCTAATAAATTCTATAATAAATCAATAGATAATAAAAATATAAAAATTAATAATATCTAATAAATCCTTGAATAATCTTTAATTACAAAAGTATTTAAACATTTAAATTCTCTGAATTAGAATGGAACAATAGGATTATTCAAGGGCTTTGCTAGTGGTCAATTCCGGCCTGTTTTTCCTCCTACGAAGAGTCTGTATCGTACCAAATCGGTACTCAACTTGATTCACTATATTCGGAATCAGAGCGGTCTCGTATGTTTATGTTATATAATTTATCCCCATCTAGGGTTCTAAAGGCTTATTAGACTGTCGGGTGGGAGTTGTCTCATCTCACGACTTCCACTTCCACTTCCACTTCCACTTCCAACAACGTGCTGCGCAGAACTGCCACCAGTAGATGCTCTGCCCCCCTTTGGAATGTATGCTGGTCGCTAAAGGATCATTAGCCTTTCCTTCTCCTCGATTTCCTAAAATCTTACCTCCCTCGAGCCTCCTTGACCATTTGTGTCTCATCTGATCTGAGCCCAAGGGAATTTCTAGACCACTTCCCTCATTGATAAGTGTACGGATGTACCAACCACATTCACCCTGCGACCACGGTGAAGCAAGAAAGATACACCGTTTGGCATAAACCTTCTTCTATCAGTCTAGCCCTTCGTCTCCCTCTTCGTCTCTCCTTGGTATCTCTGTACTTGCTGGACTAAGGACTAAGATTACGTTTATATTGGTACAGGTACAGGTACTGACCTACTTATCGATAATACATTTAACAGCAGGCTGAACAAGAAGTCTCAAATCTCACAAAATCGGATCGAATCGCAAGTACCTACATTCATTCAATCAACATCAGTGGTATCTTCAACGGGTGGATTGATTTAATTTTGGGTGAATTCGTCCAACGTATATCTCATCTCATATCGTTCTCCAACAATTCACAGTTCATCCATCCCTCGATCTCGTCCCGTCACTACGACCTAGGTATTACTAATTATTCTCTCACCTCACCTGTCTGTTCTCTCCCATAGACAACCAAACCACCCTTCAACTCATTTTCTCCACCCAACTCAATTGACCCCCAAACTTCGCGAATCAAGCTCCAGGAACGTTTCTTTGATGATCGTCTATTCGCACTA